TGTATGTATGTGTGTATGTATGTATGTTTAGCTTACCACTCTTAGCTGTCAGCGTAAACCTTGCTGTTTTGTCGTTTGGGATGACAGACCCAGTGTGTTACATAACCAGGAAACCCTACAGGTGTTTTTCCTACATATAGCTTCTACGTTGTTATGTAGGCATAGGAATATACTTCAATCTACGGCATCACTATGTATATCTAGAGAGAGAGAGAGAGAGAGAGAGAGAGAGAGAGAGAGAGAGAGAGAGAGAGAGAGAGAGACCTAATACCTCAAACAATAGCCACCACAGATCACAATGTAAACAAAACATCCTCACCTATACTTGTCCCTGCACACACGCACACACACACACACACACACACACACACACGCACACAACATATTATGAACAATATGTGAACAGAGGCTACTATAACTATGAACAGGTCACAACTGAAGACGATAATGGTTCATCTTCACTACAACAGGGCGTGTTTGAAGACGTCCAGTGGAAAATATTAAAAGAATGACGAGTTTAGATTATTATTATTATTATTATTATTTTATTGTTAATAGTGTTATTTTTATCATTCTTCTGTTTATTATTATTATCAATATATTAGATAAAGCACATATAACCTAAAATAACTAAAAATACACAAAATACTTAAAGAATGACTTCAGCAGCCATAGAGAAACCAAACAAAATCTAAGAGCACTGGACGGATCACATGCCACTCTAACCTTTCCCCATTTTACGCCTCTCCCACCTCCCTTCTTTCTCCCCATTCCCCTTTCTCCCCTCCAACATGAGTTAAAGAAAGAACAGAAAGTATGTATAAGAAGTTCATTACTCCCCGGCCCTCTGTGACAGTCCACGATTTGTGTATTAGCTTTGGTCATACGCCAGGCAGCGGTTCTCAACTTCCACCTACGCCAACGCCGGCTACCAAGGAACAAGAACCGTACTTTGACGTCACGCTCTCTCTCTGTTATTTTCACTTTACCTGGTTTATCCTCTTTTATCTATCTATCTCTAATTTTGCCTCTTCTCGTTTATTTCCCTATCCCATTTCTCTCTCTCTCTCATTAACGAGGATATTACATCTTCCCTTTTTCATTCTTGGTGTTTCCCTCATTACCGTAACTTCTCCCCCACCTCTGTCTTTCGCTGACTTTTTCTCAATCGTGTTCCTTTTTTTATTAATCTCCTCTCAATTATCTTTCATCAATTTTTCTTTCTTCCTTCTTTCCTTTTCCCTTATTCTCATTATCTCTCCTTTCGTCTCCTAACCCCTTTCTTGTTAATGTTATTCTCTCTCTCTCGTGGCAGTGAGAAGTGATACCACCCTCAAGTGTCAAGACCTGACTGAATTACTCACAATACACAAACTGTACTCCAAGCTTTGTCAATAAATTTGTTAAACTAAATCCGTTCAGTGACTTCTTCAACTCCCTCCATTACTTAACACTCTCTCCCTCCCTCCCTCCCTCCCTTACTCAAACTCTCCCTACCTCCCTCACCCATACCCTCCCTCCCTTACCTAAATCTCCTTTCCCATCACTATTTGGCACACACACACACACACTAGGGCTTCGGTAGATTTAATAAGAGAGAATTAGGGAGAGCAGGAAGACCTACCTACTTGGTGAGGTGAAGTGAAGTGAGGTGAGGTGAAGTGAGGTGAGGTTAGTGGTCGCAAAAAAGGAGGAGTGAGGGTTGGGGGGTGACGTAGGCGGTACTCTGGCCTCTTCGTCCCCTTCTGCTAATGAGATTATTATCACCTGAAGGCCGTCAAGGTATGTGTGTGTGTGTGTGTGTGTGTGTGTCTGTGTGTATGTGAGCCACTAGGACTGGGGCCCACTTGGACTGGGATCCACTAGGACTGGGGCTTACTAGTACTGGGACCCACTAGAACGCAGGCCCACTAGGACTGGGGCCCAATAGGACTGGTCAGATTAGGCCGAGGTCTAACAGGACGCTGATCCCATATAGCCAGTGACCTTGTTTACGGAACTGAACGTGAAAATATGAGTACAGTCAGAGGAGAGTTAGCGAGGGATTCAACACCGCTTACAGGGATCAAGTGCTTCCACGAACACCTTTAGATAATGGGATCCACGAAATCGGATTCACATGGGGGTTTATATATTGAATTTCCCTCGTGACAGAGAATGTAAGAACCTGTATAATTTATTGTCTTCAGCTAAAACATTAGAATAAACGTCTTAATACTTCAGTACCGAACTGCATGGGATTCACTCACTTAATTTCCTTCTAACTTGAGATTATCTTCAGGTAAAATACAAGAATAAAGGCCAAAATATCTCAAAATTTCACCGAGGTTCGACTGTAACCAGATATTTTCCGTCACCACTCATTACGGAACAAAATTATCATTCAGGTTTTGTTGTGGATCCGGTTTCAGTGTGTGAGTTCTCACTCGCTGGATTCATATTCCCACAGCTGGTAATACGAGAACGGATTTCTAACAGATATATAACGTAATTTCGATGACACCCTGCCTGCCAACTGTGTTTGTTGGTGTAAGTAAACCTGTTATGTTTTGATTTTGTGAGAGTTATTGATACCCAGAATTTCTAACATAGTTTAACTTACTGTAACATAAAGTAATATAATTTAACCAAATGTAACCAAATCAACATTAACTTAACCTAATCTAACTTAACACTATGACATAACCTAACCTAACCAAACTTTAATCACCGTTATATATTTTTGTTTCTACTTTAATTATCATTGACGACACAGAATGACAAATGAACTCTGTAATGATAACTGAGACTACACGGCAACTCTTTGTAATGCAGATAAATATTCGTACAGGATATAGTTACAGTCAGGTGAGCATAATCCTGAGTCACATTACCAATTGCTGCACGTTTTTGTTTTGTTTTTTGTTAACATATATCTCACGGTCAGGTTTTGTCAAGTCAGTTTTTTTTTTGCGTGGGACTTTTTACACGCGCATACACACACACACACACACACACACACACACACAGCAAGATGCCCAGCTGACTGAAAGACCTCATATGTGTCACCAGTGCCCAAGTCACCAGCCCACAATCCTGAAATGAGCTACGACCCATTGCCGTCACCCCAATACCCAGCTTAATCTGTGAAAGTTTCGTGTTTGACTGGGCTTATGCTGATATTGCAGGCGCCGTAGATCCTCAGCAATTTGGCAATATGAAAACTTCCTCCACCACTCTTGTCAGCTTTCTCGACTATATATACCGCCATCTGGAAAAACGAAAGACGTCTGTGGCTGTCGCCTTCATTGACTTCATCAAAGCATTTGACCTAGTCGACCACAATTTAATCACCAACAAAGTTATTGACCTCGGGTTTCGAAGAAGTGTTATACCATGACTTACAGACTTCCTTAGTGACCAACGCCAAGCCGTACGCTTCCGAGGGGCTGTCTCCACCTTTCAGTCACTCACCTGTGGCGTCCCCCAAGGCACCAAGATGGTCCGCTCTGCTTCCTTATGCTTATCAATGATGCCCTAAGAGAAACTTATGCTCGCTGGAAATATGTCGACGACTCCACAACTGGGATCAGTGTCAACAACTCGGCTCCGACTACATCGGCCTTCAGGATTTATTAAACAGTCTCCAAAATTGGGTCACCAACAACCACGTCACCATCAACCATACCAAGACCATGGTTATGCAAATCAACCTCTCCTCCGACCTTGTCCCACCTCCCTCCATTACTTTGGGCCCCAACACACTCCAGGTCGTGGACTCCACTATGCTCCTCGGTATCATTATAGACAACAAACTAAACTGGAAAACACGTCAGTGAAGTTGTCAAATTCCCCAGTTTCCGTCTCCACCTCCTCCGCCGACTTAAGTCCCTCGGAGCTCTCAGTGTTTACTCAACATTCATACTTTCCAAGCTCACCTGTGCTTCCACTGCCTGGTCTTCCTCCATAAATGCCACGCAATGGAAACACCTAGAAAAAGTGCAAAAGAGGGCATGTAAGATTATTTTCTCTCCCTCCTACTCCACATATCAAGAAGCGCTCAACAACACTGACCCTTTCGGTTCTCTGTGATCATCACCACGACCTCTGCAAATTTGGTGAGAAGCTTCTGCACCATTCTCGACACCGGCTCCTACTTCCACCCGAGATCCCTCGTCCACGTATTGTCGTTTGACACCACTGCATCCAGCTCATACGAGCACGCACTGATCGCTATAAGAACAGCCCAGTTCCAACCATTGTAAAAATTATCAACAACTCGTAATAAACCAGTGTATTCAATCCCAGCTACGATAATAAAAAAAAACAAAGCTGATAATTAATTAAAACAGTAAAATAACGGAATAAATCACTAACAGATATTAAACAATTGAAGATACAAGCTTAAGTGCGAATTAAATAACATATAAAACAATTAGAACAACAAACTATTTACTACAACACACATCCTTAGGCATCAAACGAACACGATATTCTTGTGTGTGTGTGTGTGTGTACCCAGCAGTAATTGGGAATCTGGATGTTAATCGATTTGCGGATCGTGTTCCAGGGTAATGGCCAATGCAGTTGGCGAGTTGTCCGGTCTTCTCGGACTGTTCCTTTACACTGGGTCATGCAACTCATTAACTTAGGGTGTGGTTGTTGTGTTGGCGACAGCTTCTACACCTTAAACAAAATCACGCCAGGTGGCCCTTGGGCAACAATTATGTATGTATGCATGTATGTATGTATGTATGTGTATGTATGAATGTATGACTGTGTGTGTATATGTGCGTGTGACTGTCTGTGTGTATGTCAGCAAGACGTCCGGGGAGTCCATTAATCGTGTTAACACAAGGGCGAGGTATTATTCCAGCCATTACTGTCGCTCCTCAGGGCTTAAGTTATACAGCCGAGGATGCAACCTGGATATAATGTGGAGTATATTAATATATTTTGTTGCCGAGGGTTCCAGAACGTCTCTTATATCCAGTTTGTATAGCATTAATCTAGTTTTGGTTTTATAATATCGTAGGTGTTATGATGTGAGTGTTTGAAGGTGTTACACAGCTGATGACGAGGATGTTGAAGACTGACGAGGATGTTGAAGACTGACGAGGATGTTGAAGACTGACGAGGATGTTGAAGACTGACGAGGATGTTGAAGACTGACGAGGATGTTGAAGACTGACGAGGATGTTGAAGACTGACGAGGATGTTGAAGACTGACGAGGATGTTGAGGACTGACGAGGATGTTGAAGACTGACGAGGATGTTGAGGACTGACGAGGATGTTGAGGACTGACGAGGATGTTGAAGACTGACGAGGATGTTGAGGACTGACGAGGATGTTGAAGACTGACGAGGATGTTGAAGACTGACGAGGATGTTGAAGACTGACGAGGATGTTGAAGACTGACGAGGATGTTGAAGACTGACGAGGATGTTGAAGACTGACGAGGATGTTGAGGAGACTGACTGACGAGGATGTTGAAGACTGACGAGGATGTTGAAGACACTGACTGTTGAGGACGACGAGGGATGTTGAAGACTGAGGATGTTGAGGACTGACGGATGTTGAGGACTGTTGAAGACTGACGAGGATGTTGAGGACTGACGAGGATGTTGAAGACTGACGAGGATGTTGAAGACTGACGAGGATGTTGACGAGGATGTTGAGGACTGACGAGGATGTTGAGGACTGACGAGGATGTTGAGGACTGACGAGGATGTTGAAGACTGACGAGGATGTTGAAGACTGACGAGGATGTTGAGGACTGACGAGGATGTTGAAGACTGACGAGGATGTTGATAACTAACTCTGGTGGAGACTGAAACTGGGAGAATATGGCCGTCAAGGGCAAGTGACCATCAGCTGTTGTTGCCATAAGTAATTTCCGTCACTCGATGTCAGTGTTTGCCTTGAGGGACACTAAGCTTGTCCTTCACAACACTCATGTATCATAATTCTCTCTCCTGAAGCCTAGACTTATGTTATCGGTGGCTGTCGTTTATTTACACAGGGATCTGCTGCAAACAGGAACTATTGAAATAAAGAGAAAACAGTACAGTACAGTACAGTACTCGCTACAGGCATCACGGGGCGCTGTAAGGTTGTTGATGTTGTAATTCCTTACTGCGCCGTAACTACTACGATATACCAGCACTCAGTTTATATTAAGTAAGTCATAGTAAACACTTAATATTAATATCAAGTCAAAGCAGAAATAACTCAGTGTGTTGTGGGGGATATAAGATCCCTATATAATTTACCTCCAACGAGTGTTAACGAATCTACGATGGCCAAGGGTGACTTAATCTGATAATTAATATAACACAGGTAGTATAATACATGTAATAATTTTATAACAGCGTCATTATTCCATGAGCTGGCAACTTAGCAGGTTATTTATATAAATTATTAAAGTAAACAACGTGACTGTGGCATCGTCTCCCCCAGCTAGGCTTCAGCTCTCAACTCGCACTGACATAACGCACTGCCTTCCTCCTCTTACACTACTGTCGTATAAACACAACACACTACATGCTATCCCTCCCTCCACATATTATATACATTAATCTGATAAAAAACGTAAAATAGCATAAAAAATAAGATATATTTAAGCTGTATAAAGTGATACTGGGAGTATTGTGCCGGGGGAGGGAAGGCTGGGTTATTGGGTACGTGGGGGGTGACGCCATCCCCCTCGCCTGCCACCCTGTCTTGGCATGAGATTACAAACTTCATAGTGAGAGGGTTTACACCTTTCTCTCACTTCTTCCCGGTACACAGCCGCACTACACAATCCTTGACGAGGAAAAACATTGATGAAAATCTGCTGATCTTCTGTGACCTAACCTAATATAACATAACCAAACCTAACCAGACATATCTACTAGCCTATTTAATAATCTATTCGTATACAGCATATATTAACTCCATATGTTAATCATCTCATCAATCAGTTGCGCCGGGAAGCTCATCACCTGACACTCGAAATGCAATGTACAGTAGCATGGGGCAGGTGGGGTGCCCGACCTTGATGTACAGGTGAGATGGTCTTAATTAGTAAGCAAATAAGATAGGGAGAGAGATAAGGGATAGGAGATACATTATTTATACCAGATAATAATAATAATAATGGATTCTTCAGGTGAATTTGTTTGTTCAGACGTACGAGCCGTAGCCAACACAACAATCATACCCTGAATTAATGAGCTGTATGACCACACACACACACACACACCTCTACTACCACTCCGCCCCCTGCACACACACACACACACACAAACACCATCATTAAGATACACAGACGAGGTTCTCTCTCAAGTTAATTCAAAGTCTATAACTTTTTTTTACTTTAGATAACTCTGACAACTTGTGAGAGAGAGAGAGAGAGATCCTCTTCTCCCATCCTCAATATCTGCTTCCCACCAACACCTGCTGACCATTTCCACATACCTGGCACGAGACATCCTCACCCCTCCTCTCCCCACTATCTGCCAACACTTACTTGTCCTCCCCCCACCCTACCATCCCTTCCCCCTAGCCCCCCACAAACCCTCTTCATCACAAAGCCCTTAGCCCCTCAAAACCTCCAGCCCCATTACCCCGTGTGTGTGTGTGTGCGCGTGTATGTGTGTGTGTGTGTGTGTGTGTGTGTGGAAGAGAGAGAGAGAGAGAGAGCCAACAGGTCTGGTGTATTATACGACATTAATGTCTTGAACCAGTGAGTCAAAGGAAACATTTTTACTCCGTCTGAATAAACATAGACAGAGGAGACATATGTACACCTCTCCTCCTTCCCCCCATCTGGCCTTTTTTTGTTCCTGTTTCTTTCTTTGTTGTCGTTGTTGTATCTCTCTTTGTCGTTGTTGTTGTTCTCTTTGTATATGTCATCTCTTTGTCGAGTTATACGAATATTCCAAGGACTGGTGGTGGTTGTAGTGGACTTATCATGTTGATGCTACTGCAATTCTCATTTCTGCTTTTATTGGAAGAGATATTGTAATTTACTCTACTACAAACACTAATTTATTCGTTCATCTAAAGGGTAATCCTCTGGGACGACCCGGTACAGGTAATTATTGTTAATTAAACTGATGGTACTAGATCTACCTGTCGTTAATGTTAATATGTTTGGGCGACTTAATGAGATTATTTTTTATTTTGCATTTATGGAGAAAGTGTTTATGACTTTACCTTCAACTACGGCTACTGCTACTACTATTACTACTTTTTAAATTTTCACCACCATTACTACTACTACTACCTTGTTGTCACTTGAAATCGAGTATGACGATCATCCAGCTATGAGACAATAATATGAATTATTTGGGATGTCACTTTCGTTGGAGAGCTCTGTTGCAGGTGTGGGGGGCTACATCTAGTGCGGGAGGGGTGGCTGCAGCGTCTGTCCGGCGTTGGCGCTTGTCTGTCTCGTTATGCAGTCGGGCTAACTCGAAAGTATTGACACCTTCTTATGTGGTGATCCTCCAAGCGTTACGGTGTGGAGTAATCGTCTCCCAGGTGAGGGGGTCGATTTGGCACTTTTTCAGGTTTGTCTTAAGACTATCCATATACTTTTCAGTTGCCCGCCAGCGTTACGTTTACTATTCGTTAGGTGACTGTAAAGTAGCTGCTTTGGCAGTCTACTGTCGTCCATGCAGGTAACATGGCCAGTCCAGCGTAGTTGTTCATGGATAATGGTAGCCTCGATGCTCCTACTGTTGGTGTCAGCGAGAATACTGGCATTTGTTCTCTTGTCTTCCCGGTGAACTCGGGAAGACACCTCTCTCTCCCACATATGGCCACCTCCCTCTCCCACATATGGCCACCTCCCTCTCCCACATATGGCCACCTCCCTCTCCCATGCCGCCCTCCTACCACATGTGGCCTCCCTCTCCCATGGCCTCCTCTCCCTTGCCAGCCCACCTCCTCTCTCCCACCTTGCTTTCTCTCCACATGTGGCCACCTCCCTCTCCCCATGTAGCCACCTCCCTCTCCCACATATAGCCCTCTTCTCAGGCCATGATTCTCTGTGTGTGTGTGTGTGTGTGTGTGCGCTTATGTGGCCTAGTAGAAACTTTTCTCCTTGGTCTATCTATCTATCTATCTATCTATCAGTCTATTAGCATCTCATGCATCTCTTGTTTTGTTTGTTTGGCTTTTTATCCTCCCTGTCGTGTGTGTGTGTGTGTGTGTGTGTGTGTGTGTGTGTGTGTGTGTGTGTGTGTGTGCAGCTTGCTTGTATGTAATTAATTCACTAATTGATTGTGTCTCCTCTCTCTCTCTCTCTCTCTCTCTCTCTCTCTATGTGTGTGTGTATGCGTGTGTATACGTGTGTGTGTGGGGAGTTGTGTGTGGGGATTGTGCGTTTTATGTGATTTTGGAGTTATTTGCGTGCATTGCATTAATTGTGTGTGTGTGTGTGTGTGTACGTGCGGTCGTCGTGTTATAATTGTATACCTACCCTCGTATTGGGCTTCCACTATATAAGTATTTGTATGTTGTATCGACCGTGTGTGTGTGTGTGTGTGTGTGTGTGTGTGTGCTAGGCTTGGCACGGTCGGGTGTAAGTCGTGCCAAGACGCTACCCACACTACCTCCACTACCCACACACACACACACACACACACACACACACACACACACACACACACACACACACACACACTCTACAGCGACAAATAAAAAAGAAAATCGGAATAAAACTTGAGATTTTTCCTTAATCAGTTACGTTTACTTCCGTTCACCTGGTGGGGGGAGGGGGGGGGGTGAGAACTAAACAGAGCATGTGGATGTGGTTTATAATCTACGTTGGTTTCCTGTTTCCGTGTTGCTTTGTCTACGTTATTTCCTTTAGGTTTTTATGCATCATTATTCCTTCTTACTTTCCTTTAGTTTATTTATTTATTTATTTTTTACCCTCCTTTTAATTCTTATCTCCATCTGATAAAAGAGGAATATGATAAAAGATAAGGTGTAATAGAGAAATAATCGTAGGTAATAGTAAAGTCTTGGTGTAATTTTAACGCCATTTTAGTTGTGGGAGAAAATCACTTAGGATATTTTTTTTTATTTTTTTTTAATAATCTTGTTTTAAGTGATTGATTGATTACTGATTGATTGATTGATTGATTGATTGTGTGTTGTTTCTCTAATAATGCTCACAAACCATCTATCAGTACAAGAGAATATAGCCGATGGTCGAGATTGTAGTGGTGGTGAGTGTGGTGGTGAGAGTGGTGGTGAGTGGTGAGTGATGGTGAGCGAAGGTAACCAGAGCACCTCAGATGCTGCCACTCAGTACCTCGGCAAACTCCCACGAGAGACCCGCCAAGGGAGACTCTGGTAACCTGGTGGGAACATAGAAACCCCCAGATGGGCGACGGACACGTGATATAACCGTCCAAGTATCGACCTTATTACTGCAACTCCTCCTGCAGCAGACCATAAGGGCGGTGAACATGTTAAAAAACCACTGGCGTATCGACCATGTTGCTGGACTTGCCTCACGCCCAAGCACAAAAGCTGATAGTGACAGGTATGTTACACTCAGGTAAATATTGGCACACCTGTCTGTAGTGTGGACTGCCAACCTGACGGTGGCAATAATAATAATAATAATAATAATAATAATAATAATAATAATAATAATAATAATAATAATAATAATAATTAAAACAAATAAATAATAAAAATAAAAATACTACTAATACTACTACTACTACTACTACTAATAATAATAATAATATCAGTTGCTAAGTTATTAATAGTAATAGTAGTCGTAATGGAAGGAATACTCATCCAAAGACACCACTATGTGTGTGTGTGTGTGTGTGTTCACTGGTCATTACTGACGTTTACACACACACCCCCTGGGCT